CAAAGGAAACGATGGGCCGACCACTTCAAGAAGCTCTTGAATCGACCAACACCTAAACTTCGTCCTGAAATACCACCTACAGCCGCTGAACTACAAGTGAACACAAATCCTCCAACAAAAATGGAAGTCCTGGACGCCAAGCCATAAAGCTACTGAAATGAGGGAAACAGCAGGACCAGATGGGATCCCACCAGATGCACTGAAAACAGAAGCACAGACAACAGCGGACATGCTCACACTACACCACTATTGCAGAAGCTCTGAAATGAACCAAGGGAAGGTACCTGGCGATTGGAAGAAGGGTTACCCTGTCAAACTCCCGAAGAAGGGAGACCTCAGTGTTTGCAAGAAGTGGTGCGGAATCACTCTCCTGTCCACCCACAGCAAGCAAAATATTAAGCCGCATCATCCTGGAGAGGCTTAAAAATGCACTGGATTCAAAACTACGGTCGGAACAGGCAGGCTAGCTTCAGGAGGCACAAATCATGTGTGGACCAAATTGCAACTCTTCGCATCATCATAGAACAGAGTATAGAATGGCAGTCAACTCAACTATACCTCAACTTCATCGACTTTGAGAAGGCCTTTGATAGCGTCGACCGAGCAGTAATTTGGAAACTGCTTCAATACTCCGGAATACCACAAAACTTTATCAGCCTCATTTAACAACTATATGAAGACGCCGCATACCAGCCAAGTAATTCACAATGGGAAGCTCAGTGATGCTTTTGAAGTGAAGACAGGAGTGAAACAAGGTTGCCTACTATCACCCATGATATTCCTGATTGTGGTCGACTGAATCATGTAACAAACAGTGGGGAGCGAGAACAGGGGGATTCCTTGGCTGGACTGCAGAAAAGAATCTAGAAGTTCTGGATTTCGCCGATGACTTGTGCCTGATGTCACACAAGCTTGAAGATCTACAGGCGAAAACTAACAAGTTGGCAGAAGAGGCAGGGCAGCAAAGACGGGACTTCAGGTGAATATAGAGAAGACAGAAGTGATGAAGATACCGTACCACCAACAACAACAAACTCCAATCAACATGAACGGGAGAAACTTGAAGGAAGTAACCTCCTTCACCTATCTAGGAAGCACTGTTTCAACTACAGGCGGCGCAGGCACAGACGAGGATGTCAAAGTCAGAATCGGAAAGACAGCAAGACAGGCGTTCATTAGCCTGATACCAGTGTGAAGATCTGCACTCCGCATAAAGCGTGAACAAGATCCGGATTTTCAACACCAATGTCAAGTCAGTGCTTCTGTATGGTTCAGAGACCTGGCGCGTTACGAAAGGGATTTCCAATAAACTACAGACATTCATCAACAACTGCTTACGCTCTCTACTAAAGATCAGATGGCCAGAATAATATGAATAAGCAACAAGAAACTCTGGTAGCTGGCTGGCTGACAATGAACTAACCAAGAACCTATCACCCAACAAATATGCAGAAGGATGTGGAGATGGATAGTATGGGACATACAGTGAGAAGGCCGACTGGGGACATCATGCGTCAAGCCCTCGAGTGGAATCCCCATGGGAAGCGACGAGTTGGACGTCCGAGGTGAGGGTGACATGGAGGAGATCGTGTGAGGAGGAAATGAGAACTTCTGGGCTGTCGTGGAGCGAGGTTCAAAAGATTTCAGAGAACAGAGTTCACTGGAGACGTGCTACTTGAGCCCTATGTTTCATTAGGAACCCAAGGGACTAATATATAATATATTACATATATATATATATATATATATATATATATATATATATATATATATATATATATATATATATATATATATCATTCACTTAGGACTAATTACTCCATTGATTATCGGTATCTTGATTTCTCAAACGCATCATTTTCATAATTTACTGAAAATGTAGAATTATTTTACATGAACTATTATCAAGATTTGAAAATATTAAACACTCAGTAGTAGGCTGACATTTGATAAAGTTTATAGTTTTATAAGTCACAGTGTTTGAAACCAAATAATCCCAACATGTTGTATGGAAGTATAGTCAGAAATAATTCTTCAACTTCAACAACAAATTTTTGGTTATTTACCTGAAGAGGCTCTGACCAGATTGGCTACCGTACGAAACGTGGGAAGTATTTTATTTCAAACGCCATGGCGATTTACAATATATATATATATATATATATATATATATATATATATATATATATATATATATATATATATATATATATATATATATGGTTTGTACAAAAAGTTTCGTAACATGACGACATAATTGGAAACTGAATTGTGATCATGCAGAACATAACAACAAGAATGAATACCAAATTTCTTAAGAAGTGAATAGTGTCAAAACAGAAAAACGCAAAGAAAAAGAGAGGGAGGTTAGAGGAGACTGAAGGGATTGAACAATCTTCTTTTGTGTACATAGTTCAGGCTTCTCCATTTGGATGGCAAGAGCTTCAGGGATTCAGAGAATACGACGACATACAGTCTTTGGAAGATTTCTTTCCACTTTATAGATAACTTTAAACAAGGGGGTTTTTGAGATAGGGTGATTTGTGTTCACAATGTGTTCACTTATAGCTCTCTTTATAGCTCCATTGTTACCTCTTTGTAACCACACGAGACAGTGTTCTTGATTTCTTTTGGACAACAGTCGCGTCGAACGAATTGTTCTTCCTTCATATCCTGATGGGTATATATATATATATATATATATATATATATATATATATATATATATATATATATATATATATATATATAAGTGTAGAGCCTAAGACGAAGACTGTATTGGAAAGGAATGTATTTCTCTACTCAATCAGTCAGTTTTTCCCTGCTCATATGTTTATTTGTTGACGGTAACAATGCCACTGAACAACATCGTGAGCCTTCTTACACCGCATATTTTGGCCAATACACTGTATACAGATGAATTTACAGAGTAAGACTGATATCATTCAGGCAAATGTGATGCTTAACCATTCAATGTTCTATACTGTACTTTATGAGCTGTCCTTATGTTCATTGATTAGTCTTCAGAAGCAAATTTGTAGCACACCATTAATATTGTTATGTGTAAACAATAATTTGATTGAAATGGATTTCCTTTTCAAGTAGAATAAACACTTAGTCAACCAATTCTAAGAACTGACTCTATTTTTGAACGTGAAGAAGAATATACGAGATTTATAGTGGAAGGGAGTGAATACTCTTCTAGACATTGACAGTATTAAAGTTGAGGCTGGTTTGACAAAGCACAGGATGTTAGTCTAAGGGGAATAAGCTGTGATTTATACTGGTACACACAAAAAAGTGATCATTGTCAACCTTCCATCTTACCAATTGTAACGAGAACAAAAAAACAATGCATCATAGCAGAGCTGTCAGAGGTTGGTTTACATGAAAAACAATCATGACTCTTTTAGCTGTGAATAAGAGTCTGCATAATGGTACCCTGTGTCAACATAATTTTCTAAAAAGTCCAGGAGGATAATACACAAAGCTGTCGAATATCCTGACATCTAAAAGACCAGCTGAAAATTGAAGTCTGCATAGTTGAAATGAATGGATTGTCAGTCTAAAAATAAAGTTATTTATATCATACCACTTTTACTATTGTTGTATGACGATGGGTAATGGCTAGCAGTAGAACCTACGACGCACGTTTCCTCCAATTCGGGACTTGTCAGCTTAATGTACCTGCCTCCCAAACGAGAAGTATCGTGACTCACTGGCCTAGTAGAAAAGGCTGTGGTATTTGAAACAATTCGTCCCACCTTCTAGCCTTACTGGGAACGACATCGCTCATTGGGAGCTAGGTATATCCAGGTGATGAGTCCCAAATAGGACGAAACATGCGTCCTGGATTCCACTGCTGACCACTATCAATCATTAATATCAAAATTCAAAACGTCGGCAGTATCAAAGCATCCAGATGCCAGTAGTGGTCAATCACTTTAGTCTAGTCAATAACGGAGATTTGCAAGTTATAGTAAACGTACAACGTGTAATTTTATTAAAACATCTCAAGAACATAACCTTTTCAACTATTTCCAAATCTCTATATCAGTCGATTGAAAATATGAACAAATGAACGAGGATATAATTAATGACTCACCTTTTTGATAAAAAGATATGGTTTAATATATGAAATGCACTACTGAGATTCGGTCGAGAGGGTGTCATAAACTACCCTGTTCAATTCGTATTGCTCATTATTGCTGATAGTGTGCAATCAAGCCGATCAAGGTATTAAGTGAGTTAAATGCATCTTGAAAACTTTGGAGAAACTTATTAAGTTTTTTTCCGGAAAATAGAAAAAACCTTTAATGTTCTTCACAAAATAGACGGTTACTATTTCATCTACACTGGTCCTATTGCAAATACTTAGTACTCTATCTCTAAGAGTTTCTCTTCGAGCTGATTCCCCAAGGCCCTCAAAGGTGTATACAGGGTTGCTGAGATCATTCCAAAATTCAAAATTCACATGCAAACCTATAACTGAATATATGCAAATAGTGAATAGGACTACACATTCTGTTTTAGAACTCTTCAACTATAAGGCTTCTCTGATTGTTCTCAAAACTGAAGGTAGAAAGTTGATATTTCTTCTTCAGTATGTTAGTCTAATTCACCTTACTCAATATAAGCAAACAATATGGAGAAATCAATACAAGGGAAAATGAATGAGTAGAGATAATAATACAGTCAGCGGTAAAGAACCATGAAGAAAGACATAATGCATGAAGTATGACAGAAATTAGTAGAATATAAGATTAAAATAACAGTTTGAAATATGATGCCATTGTTTTTCAGTGCTATGAATGAACTTTCTACGTTCCATCACCTGATAAACAGAAATTCTTTTTAGACCTACAGAAAACTTGTCTTTCTGAAGGAAATTATTCATGAAGTATGAATTGACTTAACATTAATTTTTCTAACCAACATTAGCTGTTAATTAATGGTACAAATCAATTAGATTATATATTCATAAAAGAGACAGAACTTACCTCAAAATTAACCAATAAATGCTGTGAACTACCATGTGGTAATGGTGTATAAACCATAGTGTTAGCTAATCGATCTGTGAAATTTGTAGATATTTGAAAACCACGATTACCCGATGGTGGTGCACTACAACTTAATTCACTTGAATCCATCTCCACTGGATAATTACGTCGTCTTGGAGCGACTGTATGCCGGTTAGTTTCACCACATTCAAATGATGCATCAATTGATTGTTCATGATGTTGAGAGGTGAAACGTAGACTAGCTGGTCGACGACGAAATGATACAGTTTGATTTGACTTGTTACTACATATTTCAGTATTATCACTATTATGTTGATTACAATGACTACAATTACTGTTACTACTGGTTTTGTTATTATCAACTATATTATCAGTTGTATTAGTAGTAATGTTGACAGTTGTGTTGTTATTGACCTCTTTATCTGATTTGAAATCTGTCACCTTGGGCAATGCTTCCAAGGATTGCTTCTCTTTGGCATGATTATTATCAATCTCACCGGAGTTTATCAAGTTATGACTGTAGACCATACACAACGAACTTAAAAAAGTGAAAATATAAAAAGGCATAAATTAATACGTGTACAAATGCTTTAGGAATTATGTACAAAATAAAATAAATGCACGTCGAAAACAGTCAATTCATTATTCAACTGGTGATTTTTGAGGGCTGACTGTTGAGTACTACCAAGAAATAAGTATCTGACGTAAAGTCGACCTCTCCAGTTTATAAATACAACACCATCCAGTACGTATTTATGTACTAAGCTAAGGGTCACACTTATCGTATATAAGGGCTTATGATAAAAGCCATTAGCTCAGACTAAAGTAGGTGGAGCAGGGGTTCGAACCCCGAACGCTTAACTTAAAAGTCGAGTTCTTAAGCCAATGAATCATGTTTCCAGTGTATTTGCGTACAGAAACCACCATTCAAATAAAGTTCTCATAAGAAATCAAACATTTGCCATGGTAGAGATGAAAATTACTTTTTGTGTGTGTGAATTATTCGGTATAGCAGTCCTTACCAAGGACTGATATAGATGAGTTTACGAATAAACTATTACCACTCCAATGAATGACTGAATGCACTCGAAAATGTTGAACACCTTTGGTATTGTAGCGTGACAGTACAGTGATTAATTAAACACCTCCAAAACTCGATCGATTATCTAGACTAAATAATATGTTCCAAATATAAGTAAAGTAGCTCCTCACTTTTCAGAGATTATTTGACTGAAATTAATTTATCTTGTGGTATTCTGATGATCCTTTATTTTACCTATGATGAACTGACATGTCTAGATGACTATTTCAAATCACAACACAACGATTTGGTTGGTCGACATATGATTAGGGTTAAACCAACTGAAAACTAAGTTCAAGTTGATACTCATCACGGACTGGCATCAATTGAAGAACCATTTCAAACCTATGAGTGATGAACAGCTGTTTTATTCTAGCACTGAACTCTTCATCAATGGACACTTATGACGTCACCAGAAATTGAATTCAGGAACTTCATGTTTTGCGGTGAGCACATTATCTTACTATCATGGTGCCGCAACCAAAGAGTCCATATCTTCCTACTTCTGTCAATTCGCGATAGACCACGAGCTTCATTTTTATTCAATGACATCATAACCGATATAAAACTTAATAATAAATTGGCACTAAGGAAGTGTCAATACACTGAAACCTAACGATGACAACAGACTACATAAAAACAAAAAGCTGGGTTGGCTTTTGCCAACTTACACCACCTATCGCGCCGCCACGACGTCCGATTGCCTATTAAGGGTCGATTGTACTGTGCTGAAGTCTGTTCTCTTCTACCGTATAGCTGTGAAACGTGGTTAGTAAACGTAGAAGATATGAAAAGGCTTCAGGTATTTGACCACCGTTGCCTTCTTAGCATAGGGCGTGTTTCATGGTAATTCAGAAGTCAGGTATAGAGTTTTAGGGAGAAGAGGTAAAATAGTTAATGCGGTTATGAACCTTTATCGAATGAGATGGCTGGGACATGTGTTACGTGTGTCTAGCCACCGTCTGCCTCGTCACACAATGTTGGTCGAAGTATGTGTAGGCTGGAAAGACACATGAGTAGTCACAATTTTCAATGCAGTATTGAGTATGCTATGTTGAGATCTATACAATGCTAACAATTCCGTTGCAGCATCTGTAGTATTGCTAGCAATCAAGAAACTTGGGGGTTCATCACTTCCTATCGATTACTTTCAATTGATCAACATGAGTTACACTTCGTAGCTATGCTATATAACATTTGTTAGCTGGGTTCCTATGAAACCAAGCTCAAATAACATCACTTAGTTATCAGAATGAAAGGTGACAGTGTTTACTGATGATAATGTGTAAACAAGCAACTTCAGAGAAGGATACTTGCATAAGCGGTACCATTTGTTACCTAATATCATAACCCAAGTGACTGACTGGTGACACGCTTGTCGTGGGACCTGACGGTTTTGAGTTACATCTTAAATGGGGCCACAGATACACACTGGTGAAGGTGGGACAGCAGTCCAGTGTTTTTGAGATGCGAGCATATTACCTGACTTTGCAGCAGCAGACCGTGGGCTCAATCCTCTCTCCTCACTCTAATACCTTTGTTTAGGAAACTGGGTAGTATCATAAGCTTGCAATCAGTACTGTAACTGGCGTAAAGTTAGTTGATGAAGTCCTTGTCTGTTCGTTTGAGCCATGTAGGGTGACGCAGATTAGTCGGTTGGGGTCCATGTGACAAGAGACGTCAATGGTTGGAGACTCTAGGTGATATGGCTCAGAACTGATGTTAGTGGCGCTGTGTATATACACATTATCCTCATCTTAACCGTTATACTTAGTCTCATCATTTTCTTATTCCTCCTCCCTCTCTTTTACTACTCTCTACTTTTTTCGACCGATTTTTCTTTCTTCCCGCATCTTCCATTTCATTGCCTTGTTACTTGATATGCTGGTATGAGGTGTGGCAACTTGCAGCGTTAAACAGTATGCCTGGTCCTGTATTGATTTTGTTGATGATGACATAAAATCAAACGTGGTGACCTTGAATAACAGCACGTTTGATGCATAGTGCTAGAGCTGCCGTGAACCAATCGCACCAATCAACAACACACTGATTCGATCAAGGCGACTAAAATATTAGATTAGATCACATTCTGTAGTTTGAATATTTTACATTCCATACAAAACTATATGCTAGAATTTTGAAGAAGAAGAAGAATGTACCCTTCACTTAAGTAATATCATGCTCACCTCAGACTGTGAGCTTAGCATACATCCAACTTGTGATTATACCACCGTCTAGGTTTTAAAGCGTGTGACTTATGCACATGCCTACAGACATCAATGGGTAGTAAACATGCCTAGACTGTCTGAAGATAGTACAAAACTCAACCTATTTCTTCTGTCAGTTATCAAAACCGTTTTCAAATGGCTACAAGCAGTCAGTCACTCACTCAGCAGAATGGTTATATTTCAATCACTTGACTATGAGAGTGAGTAAACCGGAAGGAAGGACACAAGATGACTCAGTAGCCTAATAGATAACGTTATCGACGGGAGTTTCAAGAATTACTTGAAATTTAGGCACCTCCGGATGATGAGTCCCGAAATAGGACAAGAAAAACATTTTGGATTCCATCATCAAGCAGAAAACTTTAAAATGACTTAACGTTAGAGAATATGCCGGAGCATTGTGAAAATACACCTATCAACAAGGTGTAGAGAGATAGTAGTTACAAAAAACAGATCAGTGATCTTATTTTGATCAATGAAGAAAAATAATTTGTAAATAGCGCATAAGTGAACGAAACGCAGTCAGCCATCTTGTGAACCATTGTACAGGCACACCTGTTGCATGAGGGCTAGTGATACAACAACCTGACACACTGTCCAAACCTTTGTAGGCGGAGCGGGATTCGAACCCGTCGCCCACCAATTTGTAAAGAGCAAGAAGATAGAAGTCTTCACAGACAGTGGGGTATACGTTGTGTTTTTATCCTTTCCTTATGTATACAGTCAATTTGGGTTGATAAACATTTATTTTGTGATGAAATTCAGTGGAATCAATATAGTAAATAAATCGGAATCATAAGTCAATACACTCAGGCGACCTGTATAGACAAAAGTGTATTTTTGCTTGTGTTTATTTTTCATGATTGTAGATTCTTAATGGAACAACTTTGTTTCAGATAATAATAATAATAATAATAATAATAATAATTATTATGGTAATAATAATGATAATAATTAATATTTTAATTAGTTAAATAAGCACACTTTCTTACCTTCTAGATGTTTTTAAACGGTTGAAGGATGAATCAAAGTCAAACTTTCCACTTGTACTTCTTTTAAGGGGAACCTGATGAAAATTGGTAGAAATGGCGAAATGCTAATAAAAACGGAATATAGTACAGTGAGAAGAATCGATCGATAACTACTGACTCCAATAATTTAAGTTAGTAGCCTGTACATTATAAAGCGTCAGATATTGAAACATCAGGACTAATGGTTCTCATCTGAATTTTTTGCCTAATACGTTTTGCAGGTGATTCTTGCTCACTACATCGATGACATACGAGTCTCCATGTACACTCGAACTTACATTCTTAAGGGTTCTATCATCGAGGTATTCAAAACCTCACTACCCAACCCACAGGAATGGAATACATGCTTAATGTATAAGGTGATAATAGTGTAACTCACCAACTGTGCCAATGAGCTAAACCTATTCTTTGATGGCTGATGACACTACCTGACCGCCTAAACTTCAATAAGCGAACAGAGTTCGAACCCATATATCGTTGGTTGGCGCAATTAACTTCCAAACAACGAGCCACAAAGCTAGATAAACAAACTTAAATTGCTTATCAAGTGATGACTAAATTTTCTGCTTAGGTCTTTGGTACCGATAGAATTCAAAATTTTCAAATCGCACAAAATCGAATCTACTTTGTTGTGCGTCTTAAACTTCCAATCACTAACTAATGATTCTCGGGTTTGAACTCCAGTCCACCTACTTCAGTCTGTGTAACTGCATAATAGTATAAACCCGAGGAAACATGAAACCCATGTGAAAAACGTATCCATGGCTGTCAAGAACTATAAAATGCAAGTCGGTGTTTCTTAAAACTGTTTTCTAATATTCACTGCTGCATAGTGATGGTACTCTGTTAATTGCTGTAGAGTCATGTTCCACAGCTTCATCAGTTTAACTCAACTAGCATTAAAATACAAGTACTGATTAAGTTACATTCAACAGTTACAATCGACTCACGTTATACGCTAAATCTGGTTTAAGGTGATCAAGGCTAGTTTAAAACAGGTCGTCTAGAAGGAAGAGTGATACTATCATTAGGATGAAGATAGTGCAAGGATGCACCTGTGCTATTGAAATCGATTCCAGTTGTCCCATGGACCCCAAATAAGAAGTCTACATTTGCCTCTGTACGGCTTAGGCCAACAGTCAGATAGTTGATGAGCTGATGTCATGTTTTAGAATCTCAGCCCCTTCTACCTATCCCTAGTCGAAACCTAAGTCAGGTAGCACCAAGTGACGGGAAAGATGGAGACTAGGTATGACTAATACATGAGTCAGTCACCTGAGTTGATGAAAATTAACAACCTAATCAACTAAACCATCATCCTTGTTTAAAACTGTACATTCAAGCTTTATTTCACCAGCATGGTGGTGCTCGATACATCGGTAATGCTCCAAAAACAATGATAGCCGATAATATTCTTCATCTTTAATTGTAGTGTTTCACTTGTCAAACTTTTGAGTAGCACACTCAGATGTTAGTATATGATCGGCTATCGTCCCTAAACTACAGATGGAGCAAGTCGGCAAACAGCAAACGAGCCTATTGTGTCGCTTCAGAGATTTCGTTGTTCACTGACCTACTATTTCTCTTCCAATTTTCCAAATAAGTGAAGCAGTCAACAAGTGCAACCCCTACCTTCCTTACTGTCATATAAGCTATTAACGCTGACCAATCCTGAAGCAAAATTTACATTTGGATGTTGAGAGAAGCATCCCAAACATCCTCAGATGAAAATGGAATAAAAATAATGCATCGCGATGTCGAAATATTAAGGTTAATGACTATACTCCACAGCTTGATCGATATACTTCGGTTATTGCTAGAGGCTATAGGTAAATAATAATGATTAATACATAATGACTGACGAAAAATGCTACTGAATAACGTGATTAGTGAAACACCCCTGAAACTTGGGTGGATTTAAGCCACACTTATGTGACGGCTGATGATACAATACGACTATTTAATTTAAGCTGAATAGGATGAGTTTTAGACTTACTCACTAAATGATATGAAAATCTAAATCTGTACGTGACAGGAATATAATTAAAAATACCAAAAGAAGGCGATTAGTAGGATTAGTGACTTAATGCAAAAACTAAGTTCAGATTCGCCATATGAAAGTTACTGATATCATACTACTATCCAAAACACTAATAGGTGATCAATTTGAGTACCTGCACGAACTAGATAGAAAAAAAGATGGGTGAATTAGAGAGAGCTGCAGTACACATAACGATTTTGTTAGGTCAAAAGAGGCTTCCAACAACTGACATATGATATTCTGAAGTATTAAACAGAAAAACCACATTTACGTACGCAACATGAGCTATAAGTCCAGGATTTTACAGATGAAAGCCAGTCTTCGAGTCTGTTTAAGCACCCATGTTAGATAAAACATAATACCACTGCACAAACTCTCTAATTCTTGGCCTGAGCCGTGTACGGAGGCATAGACTACCTAGCAGAGCCCCCCGAGATGATAGGAATCGATGTTTGAGGATTCTTGGACGAAAATCGGTCACAATGGCACAGATGTATTCACTCTTTGACATCTTTTAAAGCTTGAATATTTGCACTGACTGTTATCTTCAGATTTCTTGTTCTCTCATACACTTTCGTCTACTTTAATATTCTTTTTCTGTTCATTTATTCTTTGAATGTTACTGTGAAGTGTGGCAACTTGAACCAAGCTACTTATGCGCGACGTTCAATTTAGGTTCCGACTGTCTGCCATGCTAATAACACAAGTCAAGGAAGACAGTTTTATTGATTATTTTATTGATTGATTGATTGATTATTTATTAGGATACTAACTTGAGACAATATAGACACCAAGAGATGTGCCAAACAAAGTAGGAAAGTAACATTGGGAAGAGACGAAAAACAGAAGAAAGAATGTCGACAAAGTGGGTTATTAAAGAAACAGCCTCATAGATACATCCAAAACAGTATTCACTATTTCCATTTTAATTTTAAGGATCAGACGAAATAAGTAAACTGCAGTATGGGCGCCGTTAGTGACGATTCTGAGCCATGTCTCCTATCGTCTTAAGCTAATGGGTTATGTGATTTTTCGAAGCTCATCCAGGGAGTTGTGAAGCATTATCGAATGCTAACTTAATACAATTACCATTTATCTCGGAGCGCTATATCATATACTCGCCACTTTTCCGTTCTTCCAACCATTCCAAGGCCAAGCGAAGAACCACCCGTGTGGGAATCACTGGGATAACATGCATAACACACTGCAGAGTCACCAAAGCTGGTGTTTAAAGGTTGCCAGATTCAATGAATGACGATCTCCATCATAACACCTCACTTTAGGATTGCTTACACAGTGTTTTCACTGGATGTGAGTTATCCTACCGAGACATCGGTGGCTGGACATGCAGAGTTATTGAACATCCCCAGCTCGGGGAGGCCTAGTATAGAATTGCTCGCATCGATGCGACCTTTCACAGCAACGCTAACGTCACGACAGCACCAGAGGTGACCCAGATTGGCGTGTCCTGTTCTGTCCTTTCATATTGAGTTGGAAATCTCATTAGATACACCTCCACTAGCATTTAAACAACTACCCAGGTACACAAACTTTTTGATAACTTCCAGTGATTCTCTACCGAAGGCGAGTACAGGCATAGAATCCTGCCAATATTATAGAAGCACCTTGTACTTTCAAAGAGCGAAGCATATACCATACTTACGGACATTGATTGCTAATTGAGTGAGAGTTGAATAGCCTGTATATTGTTTCAAAATATGGCAATATCGTTTTAAGTCTTCTTCCTCCCAGTATACCTATAACACTGCAACAAACCTTAGCACCACCACTGAACCTTCAAATCTGTCTCAGTAGCAAGTTAAAGGGGAATGGTAAAATTGGGAAGCCCCGCCTAACCTCACTATTGGTTTGCAAAAATGAAGATAAACGGTCGTATACCTTCACTATGCCTGAAGTGTTAAAGTATGAGGTTTTCGGGCTGTTAACAAACTTCTCAAGGATACCCATTTTTAACAGACAATCCCATAATACAGTCGTAATCAAGGAATCAAAGACAATCTTAATATTAAAGAATAAAACGATCGCCGGCAGGCAATATATGTGTTTACATTCACAGAATGGAAGGATATCTAACTCATATCAAAAGTTTCGGAAATATGAGGATGACATTCAGTCTTCCCACTTTTGCAAAAACACTGGTTTGATTAAATGAAGGGGTATCATCAGGTTAAAAAATGAAAAGGATATTCATCTATGATGGTGGCTTATGAGTTATTCGAATACAAGCCTTATTCCGACCATTTTAATGGGGGCTTTTAATTATGCAACTACGTCTCACTGATTCAGACAATCGAGTTTAAAACAGTAGGTAACAAGTTTGAATCTTGTTTCATACACCTAAGGTTGATAAGACAGGTATTAGCGTCAAATCTTCAGTTAGTCGATCAATACCGACCTGGGACGTGGCACAGGTTGGATAACAGTCCAGGTTGCCACCTCTTACATTACCACACTAAGATACAAGGCAGTAAGATGAAAGATAGAAAAAAGAATATAATCCAAGAGCGTAGCAAGTCACAAGAATGAAGGAAGGGGGCAAATTAGTACTGTTCTTATTAGAATACAAATAAGATACAGCAAGGGCACTATGAAAAGCGCCACACGAAATAATATAACATTGTGAAGACATAAAGAGAAGGAAAGTAGATGAAAGAAAAACGCAATAAGAATAAAGTGGTTAGAAGGGTAGCCTAGTAAGACACATTCAAAACAAAACATTCATCACTTTCTAGCAGCAGAAGATACAAAGAAGCTATAGTATGACTGCCACTGTTTTCGATTCTGAGCTATGTCTGATAACGTCTTAGGTCACTGAGTTGCGTCATCTCTCGTACCTCACCCAAGGAGTTTTGATGCACCAACATATCTTAACCTAATGCAACTATCCCTCACCCCACGGTTCTACGTCATACACTGATCACCACCCCCGCCGCTTGTTCTATCCAGTCCCAGAGCTACCAAACAGTGAATGGTGTGGAAGCCGTTGGGATGACATGCGTAGCACATGCTCAAGCCATCGAAGCCGGTGTTTTCAGGTGACTTCAGTTATTGAATAACGATCTTCATCGTGCCCAAACGCACGCTGTCGTACATTAGAATTACTTACCTGGTGTTGCCACTTTTTAAGAGCAATCATACGGAGACAATGATGACCAAACACCTAGAGGCGTCGCATATCCTCAGATCGAAGAGGCCAGGTTTCACAGGCGTAGAGCAGAGCTGCTGGCACTGAGGCGTTTTAAACTTGACCTTTTACGGTCAGACTAACGTCGCGATGGCATCAAAGGAGGTCCACACTGGTGCATGCTACTCTGGCTTTCGATATCCGGTTAGAATTTTCATTACACACTCCCACCAGAACTCACACAACTAACCAGATATACGAACTTTTCGACTACTGCTAACGTTTCACTACCAAAGTTGAGGGAAAAAACAGGCTCCTGCCATCCTTCCAAAAGAACTTTGCAATTCGATGGTGCAAAGCAAGTGCCATACTTACGGACACCAATAAGAGAACTGGATATGATGATCAGAATAAATATGATATGTGGATGCATTTGTGCCACCAAGATCTATTATCAGCCGCATAACTTAAGGTCTGCAACCATTTATCTGAGTTGTAGTTTTGGTTACTTCAAACTAGGACCTGACTTAGATAATACATCAGTTATATTTGCTTTGGATTTACTTTACTAATTAACCCTGTTTTTCCTACACTAAACGAATAAATACTCCAAATCGCAGTTTTCTATCTAAAATCAAGTGGTGAGATAATCTAACAATGGTAGTGAATTAGTATCATGATAAATAGTTTCAAGATGATGATGTTTAATACCTAGAAATAACTTATTTTCAGAGCTTTTAGCATTAATACAGTGATTCAGTGTTGGTGGTACCGAAGTCAGTATGGTCGTACAAAAACGTTAAACAAACAAATATCAACACCATTTCTGGAGAAAACGGAAGTATCTATTCACTTTACTGCTTGTGAATAGCGAACGAAGCAGCTAAAATCACCATAACTACATGACAATTTTGATTGCCACTTTAGTAGAGATATTAAATGATATTAAGCTAGGCTGGGGATGTGTAACAATTTGTAAAACTATTCAGTTGTTGAAATCAAAGTAGACAGACTGGATTTGAACTGGTGCCCTAAAGACAGACATACAGAAATGAACGTATAACCTTCAGCAGAAGTGCCTCATTCCACGCAAAGATAAAGTGGATAGAACAATATCAAAATAGACAAATCTAAATGCGAAAAAGACACAAATAAATCAAGGTTATGAGAATGTTCAAATTCCGTAAAACTTATGCCATCAAACCACATTTTCCGCTACTTTGTGATTATTCAATTCAGACATCATCTGCTAGTCTGAACAGTTTGATGAAAAATTGTATGCTTATTAATTGGAGCTTTCTCGAATATTAACCATTGGTAACTGGAGTTGCTGGACTATGCATCTTGATACCGATAACTGTATAACAAACGTAGGCTTTTTACTTTTAAAATTTGGTCACTATAAATTATGCGTGCCTTACAGATCAAACGGGCTTTTTAATTGAATTTTTTCACTTTGTGCTGTTATCAAACATGGCAATATGAACAAAGATATTACTGCTCAACTATCTACATTACTTTAATCAGATTAAACCATTTAGTATTTAGGTAATTGTTGAAAACTAAAAGAAACAACAGGTTTACAAAGCGATGCAGTGGTTTGTTGTTACAAATGTCCCATTACAGGGCATCTTCGAACCACTGAATGAGTAATACAGGAAATTAAGTATCAGACAATCACAAACTACGCAGAACTTCGCACGACAGCACATCTGCCGCATTTCGTGACAACGCGTATGAAGAAAATCATACGTACTGAAATAATTAAGACATGTGTGAGTGAATCAGTAATATAATGTTTCAGATTTAGATGAAGAATGAATACTTAACTCGATTGTGATCAAACATGAACCTTGAATCTGCATCCGCTGATCCCTAATACCCTAATTTAATTAGATCACAATTTCCCAATGAGCTAAGACAGTTAGTAACTTAGTATTTCTATACCACATTACGTTTCTTACCTCGACTTATGCTCGATGAAGTGTACTAATAGTCTTCATAAGCTCTTTAAATTATACCTATAGGTTGTGGCACAAACTAAACTACAGCGGATTAGTGTCAGGAAAAAATATAAGTAAAAGTTACGGTTGTGTACGTAGAGTTTATCTGATTTGAGACAAGGAGTCATTCAATAGAATAGTCACTTTTAAAATGAATTATAAACTCAAACACTATTTTCAAAACATGCATATTAACGTGCTCAATTACACTACGAACTTCTGTTTTTCAGAATACAATCAAAACGAAAGCCAACTAGAAAGCATCAGAAACCAACAAGTATTTTTGACACAATTCATAAATATGCTCCTCACCAAATTATTCTTCAACTAGGCGTATCATTTCTCTTTAAAATTATACTCAATACGGCTAGACAAGTATATGGGACATGATCCATATACGCCAAATGACCACTTAAGTAGCCTACACAAATCTCATCCAGTGTACAAGAGATTTCAGTTTCGATAAAATGCACACCTTTTAGAAGAACATATCGGAAAACTGACCAACTTTGTGCTTCTCAGCATAAATTCTTACTCGAAGGTTTTCAACTAGCTTGAGCCGCTAACCGGAATATTCTAATTCAGTTAATAAGACGAGATACAGGTTAGAACACTAAGAAGTCAGTTTGTAGTGTTTATGAATGTGTAACTTCATTTTAATTCAGCGTCACGCATACTTATACAGACCATTTAAATGAATCTCCTATATGAATACTAAGGGCAAATAAGAATAAACACTATTAGACTTACCGGGGATGATTGTAAAGGCAATCCAGTACGACGGTTAAAAAATGGAGTGCCTTCATTGTGAAATGATGACGAAGACCAGGCAGATGCGGAAGTAGCATTACGTCTTCTGCTAAGCCTAGGCACTGGCTCAAAGTCAGCATTTGAAGATAATAACACTGAATTTTCTGTGCTTGCACTAAGTTGTAACTCGGAAGCATGGTCGCGCTTTTTAGACATGCCATGATTTATGTGGTCACAGTCAGTGACATCGTAAGACGTAGAAAAACGTGGATTGTCAGCTGGCATACACACTAAGCCATGCTTACAGGAATCATGATATTCGGTTACATTCATAGTTTGATTGCGCTCGACATTTAGTAGTGTGAATTCTGCAATAACTTTGTTGATACAGCCTTCACGTTGAATATTAAGTGTGTTAGTAACAGGGGGAATGACAGGAGCAGATGCTTCATGTTGGTTATTTAACTCCTTATTTCCAGATGCAAATTCCTGGGCGTAATTACTAACACGTTGCTGTTTACGAGGAGGGGATTCGAGGGAACTTGAGATACTCGATTAGGTTCAACTGCGCGAGATGACTTTTTAGTTAGTGTTGAATGACCTGACTCAGTACAATCCCATGATGGACAAGATGATAAGACATTGTAGAAGGGGTTATTAAATGAAGACTGGAAGAAGGTTTCGTCAGCATCTGTCAAGACAACAACAGGACTTCGGACAGTTTCTGCATTTGAAGAGTCTCTGGATAAGTTGAGGGAGTTTGGAGGATGGATGTTTGCTTTTTTTTGTGTCGTAGGTAAAACGATTACATTGTTAGTTGCAGAATCATTCATATCTGTGGTTCCTGGAGTTAGATTACGTTTGTTGCGACCCGGCATAGTGAAATCGTCTTCGTTTGCTAAGCATGATGAATCTAGGCAGAACGGACAAGTTGGAGGTTGTTGAGGTGGATACTTTAGTGTTACAACACTAATATGTAAGAATTCTGCTTCACTGACAGAGACAGGTGTGAATACTCGTGTGACGGAACATTCAGAACCACTTATGTTGTGGACAATTTTTGAAACTGTATTTGAACCACTTTTATTATCATAAAAGTCTTCAACTTCGAAAGACTGATCGCGTGTATTCTTATCATCAGGAGTAAAGTTCATACTTAATATATCCGAGGCATCCATAAGAAAGGAGTCACCTATACGGGATACAGGGTCACACGTATACAACCTGCAATAAAAGAATTAGAGGAGCTTATTAGTGATTATCGAGAACCAAAAACAGTTTTTCTTGAGATGCGAGAGAGTTTACACTAACCTGTGAGTTAGCTTATACCTGCGGGCACGACCTGGTTCTTTCACGGCAGCCATCAAGGGGATGTTTCCAAATAGTCTATAAGCTCAAGCTGGCAGCCAGAAACTGAGATACCTCTTTCCTTAAAACTAAAAGTTTCAGATTGAAAAAAAATCGCAAGAAATATATTCTATGTGTGGACACAATTAATTCTAATCTAAATCTACAACAACTTTACTTGATATGGTTCTTAACATGCAAGCAAACAAGAATAAAATCCCACAAACACACTAGGATCACAGCAATTAAGCTAAACATGGGATTACTTTTGAGGAATAAGTTGCACTATCCATTGCTCCATAATGTAAACAGGGATCTTATTGTCACCGCAATGCTCCAAACAGTTTTCCCCCACAATTAGTGTCTCAATAGTTACCACTGACTTTGTACTTAGAAAAGTTCTCCAACCATCAACAGAACAATTGTCCTATGCAAATAAGCTTAAGAAGTTCACAACTTGCCTTAATCACAGCCTTAGTTCCATCCTTATTTCTAGTTTCATGTTCTCTAAGGCTGGTCCCATCTATATAATCAACCATTCCACTGTATATTCTGGAGTGTTGAGAAAGCACGAACTGACATATATATTTCAGAACACTAGAACCCTGGTTACTGCCGTGTAGTTTGGGAACTGAAACTAGAAAATTTCATATCTTCTTGTACCAAAGCTTACTCATTACAGATTCCGATTCAGTACTATCAATCATTTTTTGATAGTCTGAATGTCAGTTTTATATGGGTTTTCTTCATCCAGGATGATGCGTTTGTACGCAAAGAAAATGATCCAGACCAGTCACGACACATTTGCTATTGCATGCTGGTATCCGACAGTTATAGAAATGTTAACTTATACTCTTCGTTAGTTCTCAGACTATTTAGTCTTGATGGTTCATCAAATGTCACAGGTGACAATCAGCTGTTTCGGCGACGGAAACTAGGACACAGCTGATAGGCTGGAGGCGTTCAGATGACCTTCAGAATACGTAAAACAAATACTTTTCACAACGCGAACAAAGCACATGCTAGTCCTTGTACCACTATGAAATATATGCTATGCCACCTTCAGTAGTCCAAAACCGATTCTTTCATAGAAGGGTGAGCATTGAAAAGACATTCAAGAATTCATTCAGGCATAAACACTTCTGACAATTGTCATAACTCCTTTATATGTCTTTTGCTCAGTCCTCATGGATATATGGTCATTATCTCAAGTAACATAAGGATGAAAATTTTCCGAAACAAGGTTTGAACTACCACATATTTTATGCCACAATATGAGAACCAAGGCCAGAGTGGAGAATCCAAATGGCTGCAAGCTTTTTCAAACACTTGATATCTTACCGAAAGAAGCTTCGCTTAACTTAGTCCATATCTAACAGTACTGTACCTCAATTTCCATAGGTTATCAACCTGTGTACAAAAAACTAGCTGAGGAAAGAAAGAAGATAAAAATGGGAGAGTAATTTAGTTGCGACAGAACTAACGTCCTCATGGTAAGCAGGTATCAAGCTGAAGTTTAAATTATTCGGATTCGGTAATCTGAGTCTCTTCTGTAGGGGGGGCATCTCATGATTTAACAAATTTTAAGTAGTGGAAGTTTCACCTGACATCCGACTTGTGGCGTTCGGGGCTTAGGTTTTATTTGTGTCCTCTAGGATAGGTGCTACAACTAAGGCTAAATAGGTGACAAGTCGGATGTCCAGGGGTGCCCACGGTATTCCATTTAATTAAAAAACCTCACCTTTAGTTTTCTATGCTCCAGAGTATGTAGATCAAGTGCTTCTTAATCCTACCTAGCATGTTTGAACCCTAATTCCTAGAACATGTTTGGTTGACCCCCTGTAATACGTTCTAAAATTTATCTCTATGCAGTCAGCAGATGGGGGACTTTAGTACCGAACCCTAAGCGGGGTCATATGAAGCTGCTTAAGAACTAGTGAAAACAATCGCCATCGAATTCTCTGAAAATGTATCTTGAAGTTACTATCACCAAGTTGGCATTAACTACGTCCATCTCTCAACTGGCATGAGATTTTAGGATTTTAGACAGCAACATGCCTGAATCCTTTCCCATTTGTGACGCTACCAGTTCTGTCACTGACAATATACATATGACATTCACTTTGTTTCTGGTCAACAATCCTGCATTTTTTGTAGTTAAATGCGAGTCCGCGGTTGACTACCTAGTCTGAAGTCGTGTTAAATCCCTATATAGGGAAAAGCTACCTTCTTGACTTCTGATTTCTCTGCATAATTTCATGGTGGCAGCTAAATGTAGGATTTTGGAAGACATCCGCTGGGACATGCCGTGTTCATATGCAAGAAAAAGAAGAGATCGTAGTACCGAACTTTAGGGAACATTCTGTCCCTTCACACACGGGAAAACTTGGACTCTAAATAAACAACCATGTTACTATTGTGACAGCGATTCGATGAACCGTGGATTGATCCTAGTTGGCTTTAGTTTATCAATTAGACAGTCATGGCCAGCATGACCAGCCGCCCTAAAAAAATGCCGATAAATAATGTCAACTCTACCTCGATGGTTAGCAATACTAGTCAGCTACCCACTACGGCAAGAAAGTATTACCAGAGTACCCTTTTCTAAACCCATTTTGCTGGAGCGTCAGGAAGTTGATCAGCACGAGGTGGTTCATTCATCCGTCATGAAGTAAGGATTCCATTACTTTTCAGGGCAGGAAAAAGAAGGTTACTGGTGTATAGCTCTTTGGACTACTCAGTTGGCCTCCCATGAAAACTGATGTTTCGTGGCCTGAGGTCTAAGCATTGGGCACCTCCTTCTCACCAGCAGAATTCCTAAATGACCTACCTAGGAGTTCAGCCAAGATTGGTGCTACTTCCCGCAGGACCATCACACGGACTTCTTTCGGTTCCAGAAAGGCGTCTCTTGTGAGCAGTATCAGTTTGCGCCGTACGAGCTCAGCGCCCGGGTCAAAGAACAAGAGTCATACTGGCTCGGTGGTATTCTGTGGTGGTGGATGGTGAAAAGGTTCATAAGTACTATTCGGCTGAGATGTAGGCCGCTTCCGTGTTGCTACCAGTCATCCTAGTGGGCTCAACCTACTGACAGACTCCCACTTTCGCCACTCCGAATAATGCAGCGTACAGAAATGAACTTCTTGGGCTAGAAGATAACGTGCTTTCAGACCTAGCTTAATGCAAGTGCACGTTGGTTCTCGATACCCCCATTCACTTCTTTATTGTCTGCTTGAGTTGCCCATGTTTGTTTGCTACCGTCGCCTTTGTGTTCTGCCTAGAGATGTCTTCCTAGCCTCGGTAGTCCATGAGTAGACTTACTGACTACCCCAGGCGACTTGAAGCACTTTGGAATTGGGAGCAGAACAAACTAGTTGATGGCATACATGATTTTGCGAAGTTGGAATCTTCAGTTGATTTCCACGACCTCCCGTACGTAACCAGCTTCTCAATCTGCCTGGCTAAGTGTTTTCTGAAGCTCTGGGATGTCCACCAGCCCGATGTTACAGCGACACTCGTTTAAAGCTGACAGTTTAGCCTTACAGGCGTATCCGAAATGGATAACAGCATGATCACCGCCGCCAGGAGGAGGGAGGACTTTGGAGTAATGTACCAGGGACTTTGCACTTGTGAAAGTGCGGTCTAAGTGGGATGGTTTTGGGGCCCCTCCTCATTACGTCAATGACCTCATGTTCTTCATCATTCATAATTCCTCAACAAGATTGAAGAATTAGGCTGTAATCAAATGTTTCCTTCCATAGGGCATATGATCTACAAAATTGGCTTTAGGTAGGTTAAACTCTCCCGGAATTAGAATGTGTCTGCTCCAGCTTCATGGGGAAACCGACTACTTCTAAAACCTAGCTGTTATACTAAGGGCATGTAGGTGGTAAGCATTCGGGGGAGCTTTTTGAGTTATCCGGTGGGCTCCTTAAGACAGCTAAATTTGTTAATGCGGATTTGGTGAGCTGCAAGAAAAGGACTACGGTAAGGTGGAATACTACCTTGCTTTCCAGCCTTGCTGCCAACAGAAAGTAGTGTCGCTACATGGTTCTTGCAGCCCAGCAAGTTTATTGGGCATTCAGTTTATGCTTTTTACCTCGGACGGACCTGCTTGAACCTCGTTCTCATCCAGTTTTTTGGCTGAATCCTTATGCATGGGGACTGGTAGCTTGAATAAGTGTGATTTTCCGGCAAGCTTTCCTCACTTCTTCCCCATGTCTTGCCTCCAGACTGTCTACCGAGAATACCACTGGCCACGGTCTCTCCTGTTTCTTTTATGGTCTCTTACGTCGTGGCCTACCATAGGGCACGCCGACATAAAGTGGCAGCTCATATGTGGTGGAATCCATAGTACGAAAAGAGAAACATTACTACAAGTTTTGCTCGGTGGTTATTAAAATCAGACACATGAAATAGGACCTGTTATGACCGCATCCTTAGTGTGACTGATTGGGGCCGCAGAGGAATAGCCCAGGAGTGCGGAATGTAAAATAACAGAAACTAAATGTTAGCTGAAATGAACTGGTCCTGTTGCCTAGAATATTCGGTTTCCTTCACTCGGGAATACTTGGAAATCCGACCTCACTCATCATCTACTTCTTGGTAGGCAGCAAAGTGAGCAGCCTTGAGCTAACTCAGTATACTAAATCTGGTTGTCTTCCTTCTTAAAACCCTGGGGTCAGAAGATAATACGTGTCTTAACGTCAAAAATACGCGATGATTTTGCGATTATTATTGGTAGACTTTTGAGGCAAAGTCCTCACGGCTGTGATAACCCCCGCCAATTTTTTCCACTAATGATTTCCTCCGTGCATAAGACAAATTCACTTACCAATACTGTGTGCCGAATAATGTGTCACTTGTTAGCTTATGAGCCAGGGGCATCTGGAAAAAATGCAAATCAGTAAGTCAAGGACAACATTAAACGCCATGCAAAGAAGAGAGAGAAGTCGGCCAATGTGTGCAAAGAAGGGGCCAAATAGTTCGACCCAACCACGAAAATGCTTCTTTTTCCGAAAGTACGGGAGCAAGAGAAAATATTCAATCCTTGATTCTCCGTGCAGCCCGAGTGAATGGCAACAAGAACTTTCATAGAGGAAGTAGCGTTTGGGTTAAAGTTACTGTAGGTCCCAAAAGATACCGAGATAATCTCACCATTATCCGCACCTCAACCTAAACAATGGGACGCTTCAAGCTTCTGCGTCAATGTTGAATTTGCGTCAGATATCTTAAAGCTAACATATCAGCCGTTTATTTCCAGATCAAAGAATTTACTGAGATAAGCTACTGTTGGATTCCATTTGATTACGAAATGGATCCAGGGGTTCAGCACAAGCAGGCGGGTACTCAGACTTTCCTCGAGGTGTTGAGTATATTTAAGCATATGAAATGAAACCGGCCATTAATTCAAAAACGAAAGCACCACAGTCTTGGCCGAGGGTAGGAGGACGTAGGTCACAGATTATTTCCCGATCAGTCGATGTTAAGAAAGATGAAATGGCTGGGAGGATTGTGAAGTGGAATGATTTTAAATTTTTCCCTGATATTTAAGCTCTTCTTGTTGATAGGCATACATTGCCGTGAAAGTAATGCGAAACGAACTGTTGACAATTTGGGCATAGCACAGGTAGTTTTTACGTTTTACGTCAGTGAGGCGTATTTTAGCGGAAAATGGTGGACACGATAATTGGGCAGGCGGCCGATGCTA